CTACATGCGGAAATCTTCGACATCCTTGGCCATCAATCAAAAAGCGACAACAAACCTTGGGATGCAATTTAACATTTCCTAACATTTAGTCGGCACGTTGAATTATATTGCCCAAAAATATCTAAGTATAATTTTGTTTTATATTAAATTACATGATTTTCACTTTTATTATGGCTATTGCCGAGAGTGAAAGCTGTTTGAAAACTGAGGAAACCAAATTCCTAACTCCAAAACTCACAAAATAGGATTTCAAATGCTATCATATTAAATTTTAATTTTAACCGTTGTGTGTGTAAGTAAAATAATTTAATGTAAACTTTAAGATAACACTTTGGAGTGGTAATCATTTATACAGTTAACAAATTACCGTGGATATACATATGTAAATGTATTTAACATTTCATTTTAATGCATTATTTACTTTCTTTCGTTTTTATTTTTTAACTAGCGGCTCACCCCGCTCAGGTTCGCCTCTACAAAAACAAAAACAAATCTATACCACGGAAACCGTACATTTTTCCGGGATAAATAGTCTATGTGTTATTCTTATGTATAAGCTATATTATTGAAAAGTTTCATCAAAATCTATTCAGTAATTTTTGCGTGAAAGAGTTACAAACATACGTCCATACATCCATACTCACAAACTTTCACATTTATAATACTAGTACATATAGATTTAAAATTAATAAACTCACTGATTATAAAATTTGACATTTTTCAACCGACTTCCTCAACAAGGAGGACGACTTCGAAAATATTTGATTAGGTATGTATAGTAAATGAAAACTACCAATCAGTTATTTTTTACTTTTTAGTGCTTTTGTTTGAAGTCGGTTTTTATTTTTTTGTTAAAACGTTTTTATTTCATATAAATTACTAAAGTACCTACCAACTTACAATATTTTTTTCTATTGTTTATATACAATACATTTATATTATTAATGTTTAGGCTCGCTGGACTTAGACCTCTGCGTCAATAAAAAAACAAAACAAGCAAATTAAAATTAACTTTAATGTTTATTTAAGTAGGTAGATACATACATAATATTTGCTAAACAATTTTATTAGTTTACTCTTAAAATATCATTAAATTATGTCGAGTAGTCCTTGTGTTATTATTGATAAGTATCTTATAGTTTTCAATATGGATTATAATATTAAAATATGAAAATTTTACGAATGGAAGAATTTTTAAGATTTCCATTTTTACTATTTGGCTATCGAACCTGAAATTAAATATTGTTTAAAGTTCATTTTGAAAATGGAAGGAATTTTTATTGGGTGTTACCGAGCTTGAATTCGCCGCGAGATGGCGCTAGTGTAGAGTGAGAAATGTCAAATGGTACTGAACGTTTACTGTTTACAAGCTTTTTATCGCGGATTTTCACTAATATTCATGACTAGCATTGCCCGCAGCTCCGCCCGCGTTTAGATGACCAAAAACCAAATTCTTAGGTTTTACATATTAGTATACTCTTACAATGCAGTTTTTGTATTTTTTCAAATAAATGAGATATTTTTTCGCGGTAAAATGTATCCTATATGTTGACCCGGATATCTAGCTATTATCATACCAAATTTCATCAGAATCCCTCCAGTGGTTTTTCCGTGATGCGGTAACAGACAGACAGACGAAAATTCTAAATACTATAGATTCGGCCTCTGTATCGATAATAATGTCTATTTAAATAAGATTTTCCAAAAAATATTTAATGTACAGATTCGGCTTAGTTACAATTTTATTATACGTATAGATTATTGTAAAGATTGTGCCATTCCTGATTGATTGATTGATGGCAGACAAAGTACGACACAATAAATTTTATTGCTTTAAAAGAAGAGTTAAGAAAAGTCAATATTTAATTTATTTGTTTACGATTAATTATTTAAAATCCTGATAGGACTCTTTACGCGCTAACAATTATTATATTAAATTTATTAGCCCTGCCGCACTAAAAAAATTCTTTTCAACGATAGCGATAGGAACAAAAAATGTTTTTTTCTAAATGAATAGATTATATTTGCGTAACTCGTAAATGGTCCCATAGAAATTTAGAAAAAAAATCTTTTAATATGATTTTTAAATTAATGCATAGTTTGTTAAAATAATCTTCATAATTTGTTTATATTTCAATACATAACATAAATTTTAAGAGTTCCGTACGATATATATTTAATAATTTCGACAAGAAATGTACGTGAGCGATGTTTTGAGCAAAAGTTCAGTAGATAAATCCTATCATTAAGTTAATTAAGCAAATTAGCTTCCATATTTATCATTTCATTAGCCATGGAATTAATTGACTACTTATTGTTATCTATAGGTAGCTACTAATATTATAAAGAGGTAGAGTTTGTGAGTTTGTGACGTTGTAGGGGGTTATCTCTGGATCTACTGAACCGATTTAGATTAAATTTGGTAAGAAGATTATTATAGACACTGAGAAGGAAATAGGATACTTTTTATCCCGAAAACCATCTCTTAAGGGGGTGAGAATGGAGATGAAAGTTTGTATAGGGAATCAACCTAGGGACGAACCCGAGCGAAGCGATGGTGAGTCACTAGTAATAAATATAATATATTATAGTTACAGTAGAGCTCAGTTTTATTCTTCGTGATTAATAATCTTATTCTGTAACTAGCGGCTCACCCTCGCTTCGCTCGGGTCCGTCCGTAGGTCGATTGGCCACACAAATTTTCATCCAAATTTTCAACCCCTTACATAATATTGTTATAAAAAGTATCCCATGATCTCAAACTATCTTCTTACCAAATTTCATTTAAATCGGTTCAGGAGATCCAGTCTCCAGAGATTACCCCATACAACGTCACAAACTCACAATTCACAAACTCACAAATTTTACTTCTTTATAAAATTAAGTATAGATAAAAGAAATTTAGGTACACTAAATTTATGAGGAAATAAAGTTTGTAAGTTTGAATGAGAATCTCCAAACCTCGAAAATTCTATCACTAATATTTAGAACAACCTTTAGGGTAAACATAGATACTGATATATAATATTATTTTATTCGAATGGTTCTGTAAAGACCAATTTTGTAAACAAACTGACAAAAAACTAAAAAAAAATGTTGCTTATGAACTAAAAAATAATACATTATATAAATCACTGTTTCTTCGTATTTGCAGATTAAGGTTACCGTATAATGTTCATCTAATTAAAGTTAATTATTGTACTGAGAGTTAAATGAGCAAAGTTTAAGGCTACAAATTTTCAAGAATTGTATTTAAATAGAAATCTTAAATGTTTTTTTCGTCTTACACGTGTTTTTCTAAGAGTTAATAATTAATTTTAACTGTATATAAATGGATTTACTTAACCTTGCATGATATATTTAATGCGAACAATTAGATATTACGGAGAAATACTTTATGAATAATAAAAGATAAAAACCTCCTTTGAACAAGCTTTTTCCAAGAAATAATATTTTTATATTTATGTAGGTAATTAATTATAATTATACACAGGAACTAAATACTCTAAAAACAAATATGAATAAATGCCATGTTATATGTAGAATATTTTTCTACCCATTGAGGCGCTCTACAATATGACCTACTGTAGTAGGTACGTACATAACTTGATGAATGAATTGCCCTGCCCTTCTTTCTTTGTAAACTGATTGTAAAATCGGGAAAGGCGACATCACGCTCGCGAGGTTTGATCATCTTTGTACGTTGATTACATTCACAATACATTTATTTTTATGACGGACGTTGAATGTTGTGCTTATGCTAGTCAACTAGCATTGCCCGCGGCTCCGCCCGCGTTCAGATGTCCAAAAACCAAATTCTTAGGTTTTACATATTAGTATACTCTTACATTGCAGTTTATGTATTTTTTCTCAGAAATGAGACATTTTACCGCGGTAAAAAGTATCCTATATGTTGGCCCGGATAACCAGCTATCACCATACCAATTTTCATCAAAATCCCTCCAGTGGTTTTTCTGTAACGCAGTAACAGACAGACAGACAAACAGACAGACAAAAATTCTAAAAACTATAGATTCGGCCTCTGTATCGATAATAATGTCTATTTCAATAAGATTTTCCAAAAAATAATGTACAGATTCGGCTTAGTTACAATTTTATTATATGTATAGATTTAACAATGTATTGAGTAAAACTTTAGATTTAAGGAAAGCATATGAATATAAAAAATGTCTCTCTCGTTCTCACTTATATAATTTTAGAGTATTTTTTTTTAATTTATTTGGTGTTTATTTTGTTGTCATCTATTTTTTGCTTGTTCCTGACTTTAGAATGTTAAAAGTTAATACTGATTAAAAAAAGAAAAATCAATGACATACAGTGATTTACTCTTATTTAGGTATTATTTTAATTCTAGCATTAACAAAACTGAACAGAATACACGCTTTGAGCTATTTTCAATCTATAATAAATAATAATATAACAAATATTTAAAGACTATTAATCTGAATATTAAAAACATATTACTTTCTTAGATTTACGCGAATATTTGACATTTTAAATAAAACTATCCTTTCGGATTTTTTCGCGGATTTATTTGGATTTTTGGTTCCCAATATTTCGAATGCTTTACAGCAATCATGGTCACGGGAGAGGCTAAGGTTATAGACGTCTCAAACTGGGTAGGCACTGTCTATAACAAGTATGTGTTTTGGACGTCTTTAACCTTAGTCTCTTCCGTGACCATGATTGCTGTAAAGCATTCGAAACGTCGCGCGTCGGGAATTAAAAATCAAAATAAATCCGCGAAATAGTCCGAAAAGATAGTTTTATTTAAAATATTAAAAACATTTTAATGTATAAAAAAACTGATAAGTAAATTTCTAAGAAATTAATTAAATTTCTAAGAATTCTATTGTTAACTGTAACGCCGGCGTGTCCGCGGTCGTTTAGGGATTAACTCCTCCGAGATCCAAACTTTAAAACTTTACCTCTTTATAATATTAGTATAGACTATAGATTACCTATATGAATATGTTTAGTTTCAGTGATGGAACTGGTGTCGTTCGCAAAGGAGGTGCTGCAGAATGTAGCGGAGCGCGCCGCGAGCTACCGCGTGGGTCAGACGGTGATCAGATACTCGGACCGAGCTCTGTGGATAGTGGAGAAGAGTGCGAGATGGGCAGTGCCGCCTCCGTGTATGTGTATTTTATAATTTATATTAATTATGTATATAAAATTATATCAGTATTTATATTACCTACTGAAATTATAGGTTTGTGATTAGATATGAATATGAGTGTGTTTGTTACTTCATTAGTCTCGGTAACGTCTCAATGGGTTTGAATAAATTATAGAAATTTCTGAGTTAAATTACCAAATGTACATTTTATCGACGATCCCACCAAGAGAATGGAGACGTAGACAAAAACTAGTATTTGTGAATATATATGTCCCATAATAAATATTATAAAAGCGTAAGTTTGGATGGATGTTTATTACTCTATCACGCTATAACGACTGAACGGATCTGGACGATATGATTCAATACAGAGATCGATTATAGTCTGGAATAGCACAAAGTTTACTTTTTATCCCGGAAAAATGTACGGTTCCCGTGGGATATCCATACTAACCGTTAAAAGGTACCCAGGGACGAACCCGAAAGAAGTGGGGGTGAGTCGCTAGTTAATAATAATAGTAAGGCTAGTTATCATTAAGTATTTAGCAGTTAGTACATAAGTCTATAATTATTCCGGATATAGTGTGAATAACTTGAAGAGTCGACTCGGGTCAAATTCATTAATTGCTTCTAGATTGCTTGATTTGTTTATTCTACATCCTGTGAAAATGTTGCAATATAATTAATTAATATTTAATCTGTATATTTATACTATAAATGATATAACTGAGAGTAACTTCACTTTTTTATATAACTAGCATTACCCGCGGCACCGCCCGCGTTTAGATGACCAAAAACCAAATTCTTAGGATTAGTATAGGTACTGTTACATTGCAGTTTTTGCATTTTTTCTCAGAAATGAGATATTTTCCCGTGGTAAAAAGATCCTATATGTTGACCCGGATAACCAGCTATCACCATACCAAATTTTATTAAAATCCCTCCAGTGGTTTTTCTGTGATGCGGTAACAGACAGACAGACAAAAATTTTAAAAACTATAAATTCGGCCTTTATGTCGATAATAATGTTTATTTCAATAAGATTTTCCAAAAAATATTTAATGTACAGATTTGGCTTAGTTTCAATTTTATTATATGTTAGAATAGCAATTCAAACATACCATGTAGGTACTATTTACTATAGATAATTTGTTTCATTTTTTTAATGGTAATATAAAATATTATGTGAATATATCAAATATACTCGTACAAAATAACAACTATTATAGTTAGTTAACTCTGAACGACCAATGGCTGAATTATAAATGAATTTACTTAACTCTACAAATACTAAAATTATGTATTGAATATAAAATTATGTGTATTGCTGAACTTAAAAAAAAACACAAGAGTCTGATAAATATTATTTTTATAGATTTCTTTTTATTTTGTAGCTACAAATTTTATTTGTATCTGTTTTAATTTTATTGTAAGTTTACTCTGCTATATTTGTGTAAAGTGGAAACTTTATTGGCTAAGTTTATTATTTCTTATGTATTTTTCATTTTATGCTTATATACGCTGTCTGTTTTCTAACTTACAAAATAAATAAATATACATATTACATATATTACTGTTTTTTATGTTTCATTCTATTGTTTTTATGGCAAAGTTTAATAAGTTTCGTACTAAAAATAAGTTAAATTTATTATTGGCTATAAATATATAATTAAATAAATAAAAAAGCGGATGCTGTAACCATAATTGGATAGTTCCTTTTGTAGATGCTTTTGTTTCTAGTTGAAAAATCTTTTATATTCGCTACTATGATTTCCGATCAGATATATTTGATTGACTAAAGTTGTTTTTTTTAATTTGTGTTTTAGTTTTCACTACACGAATGATAATATTTTTGGAGTGTCAGGAAATTGTCAAATAAATTGTAGTTTTACTGCGTATCATCCAACTTTGTACTTCAGCTTTATTTTAAGAGTCCCACTGCTGGGCAAGCGATTCTCCAATACTTCATAATCCATTACGCTAGCTAAGTGCAGGTTGGTCAGTTATAATACAAAAAAATAATATAAACTTTTTTATTCAAGTGGACCAAGAAGAAAGGCCGCAACCAGAACTAGTCCGTCCATTACCATGGGTATTTTTCCTTGCCTTACTCGCTATACTACGTGTGACACGGGAGTCCATTTCTCTGATAAATCTAATGCGTGGGAAACCTCCTCTTCGATCTGCTGATGTGGTAAGTATCTATGTATAAGAGAAAACTTTGTTTCTCCTTCTTAAAAATATTGTGCATACAGTAGGGTATGTTGTAAGCTTTGGTATGGATAGAGTGGCTTCAGTGTGACGTTGGATAGCCTATGGCACTCATCAATTTTGTACTAATATATAAAGTTGAAAAGTGCTACACTCTTGAAGTACTTACCTACAGATTGGATTTAAAAACTTTGGAAATATCTTCTTTTTGAGGAAATTTTTGTGAATTTTTTTTGTGGAAGATTACAGATTTCTTATGTAACTTTGTCAAAAGAACCTCAATGAATTTCAAACTTAATTAATTTGGTCGATTACCGACTACTGTGCGATCACTAGTTAATATATCTGTGTTATATAAATTAAGACGTACATAGAGGCCTGTTTTGACACAGTAAGTCCTTAATTTGTAAATTACGCAATAAACTTGTGTGATCCCAGCTCGAAACGTAAGGTGAGTGACCACTTAAGTAAATAATAACACGCTTTATCTCTTTGATGCCAAAAAAGACCGACACTCTCTAGGCCAGCTATCATCTAATGCCTAAACGTCATTGCGAATGCCATCGCAAAAATAGTCTGTAAGTCGTGACTACAACAATGTAGTGTCTGTAGACTGTAATGATGCAATAATAACTACATTAAAATTTGTGTCGCCCTAGCATTATAATCAGGGGCGGATCTATTTATAGGTTTTTTGGGCTGCAGCCCAGGGATATGATATAATAGGGCCCCTGTTGAAACAATGTATACTTATAAAATAAAAAATTAAGTCCATAAAAGGTTGGCCTGATAATCCTAAGATCAATTAACCAGAACAAAAAAAAATCATTATCTTAATTTCGTGTAGTACCATACCATCTATCAATATAGATTTTATGAAGGCAAAATGACAATGACTAATTGTAATTAATTAAACTGATTTAGGCAGTTGTAACGCGTTTGCTTGGGAAACCGAGTGAAGCGGGTTCAAATGCCGGGTCTCGCACCTCTGATATTATCATGTGCAAATCATTTCCAGCATAATTACTACTTGTTTTACGGTGAAGGTATATCATCATGAGGAAACTTGCATATCTAAGCATAGCAAAGTTTTCGAAAGATATGTGCAGTCTGCCAACATGCGCTTGGCCAGCGTGGTGGACTATGGTCTGATATACATATTAATACTAGGGGGTAGTATTGAAGGGAGGCCTGTGCCCCGCAGTGGGATGTTAAAAAGGGAACACACACACACACACACACACACACACACAAACTGATTGCCATTTTTAGACCCTCAAGAAGTGTTAGTCCAGGGCCCCCTAAGCTTCCCCCCCAACGTGCGTTCACCTTGTCGTGGTGGGGGGGCTCAGTAGTGCCCGGCAACCCAACCGGGCGCGAAGCCAAGAAACGCACAGGGAGGTGGCCCACTTCGGTGGGCGGTGGGAGGTGGCCCTCTTCGGAGGGCGGTGTACCATGCGGGTTGCTCCTGGTACTTCTCTGATAGCAGAGTGGACCTTGGAGCAACCCCGTGGTTGTTGTGGTCTGCTTCGGCAGACCTGCCGTCGGGGCGTCGTAGTTGAATGCGTAAGCGATCCTGCGACGCCCCATTAAGACGGGGGAAGGCTTTGTTGGGTTTTAGTGGGTAGTACTGGCTTTGCCGGTGAGTCCCACACCTCGTGCGTAAATGCATTTCCCAACGTTAAAAAAAAGGGCCCCCTAAGCTTACGTTCCACCCTGATTATAATGATTAAATAACTACAGATACATCAAGATGTTAGTTAGGATTTATTTATGACGGTTTCAATAAGGTGTCAATCTGAATTTCTCTCACTAGAGAAAGAGATTTGACAAAGTTTCTTAGACTTTCACTAATATTTGAATTATTTTAAGTAAAGTTAATTTTTCGTTTTACTCACACTTTTTTTGTGTGAGAAATGGCAACTCTTCTTACTAATTGCTGTATAATTTTATTTGGTATACACCATTTTTAATAATTATAACTTTTGAAACATAAAATAAAAGCAGCAAGCAATTCATTAAAAAAACATAATATTTTTTCTTTTTTACAGGTTTGTTACATTCAAAGTAAAAGACGCTATCTCCGTACATTAAAGTACCAAGGCAATCGCATAATGCGTGCGAGAAGTGAACCCGCTACCCATCAATCCTGGTTCAGCCAATTGCAGTCTCTGTTCGAATTTACACTGTGCTTTAGAAGACAACACTACGGAAACAATAACACGCAGTTAAGCAATGGCGATGAAATAATGGTTAGTACTCAGGACTAAAGAATTATACAGCCAGAGCCCAAGAAAAATGAAAAGTCAAAATCAGTATGTTTGCTATTTATGTTACTATTCTCGATTTTGCTATAAAAATCGTTTACTTTCTCTATAGAATAAGAGAAATTTTCGAAAGACATGTGATGTCTGTCAAACCGCACTTGACCAGCGTGGTGGACTATTGTCTGATTCTTCTTGCAATGCGAGGGCATCCCGTACATAAGATACGTCATAAAAGGGTTGAATGATGGAGCGCCTGCTTTTGGCAAAAAAAATTAAATTTAAAATATTTAATTTCAAATATAAAATATTTAATTCAACATTAAATTATTACAGTTTTTATTGAACGCTCGCGTCGTAAGTCTACTACCAGTTTGGAAATAATTGGCCTTGAAAGAATTTGCGAAAGCAACACAGCGGGAGTAGTTCTTTAATTTGAGGGTTATTTTGAAACAGATGTAGGTATTTTTTTGACGAAAAAGTCCTTTAATTTCTTTCGCAGGTAGTAAAACGCAGTAAGCGCGTCCGACAGCAGGTAAACCCGGTGCCAACCACTAGTGAGACCAGCATGGAGCGTGTCGTAGAGAAGATCATGGTCGACATCGAAGATTCCGACGATTGTTCTGATACTGTAAGTATTTGTTTTGATAAAGATATTTTATGTTTCGTAATGAATCTATTGGTGGATATTAAAATTAAAGTAAAGTGTAAAATATTTTTTAAAACGCTTCATTGGTAATAAGTATATAAAAAAATCTCGGAAGTCGATTTTCACTAACATTTAATACTTGTATTGATTTAAAACTGAGATAATAGATTTTTTATGGAGTCAGGATTTTTTTATTTATTTAATCCTTCATTACACTAAAATACAGTGTAAAAATATATAAAAACTAGAAGTATTCACTGTAAAGGCGGTCTTATCACTTAAAGTACCTAAGCTTTAGGTCATAAGGAAAAGGATTTAGTACCTAAGTGGTTTTGTTTATCACTTTTTAGCATGAGCTTTCAGTATGTTCTTTTTGTTTAGATTTTTAAATCAATGATAATTATTATTATTTTGATTTTTTTTTCGTTAGGTTAGGGATAGTAATATAGCCTAAATATCGACAAACATATACTAAAAACTTTATATTTCATTAATTTCAGTTAACAAATGTTACCAACCCAAGAAGCGAAATATCCGATTCCCACACAGAATCCGACCAAGATGGCGCCAGGTCGAGTCATAACCAAACTAACGACACAAACAAAATAGAACAAAATAACCGCGAAATAGAAGTAGCATACCCTTCCATAGACAATATAGATAATGAGACATCAGAAGAAATATTCAAATTGAGACACGACCTGATTGTAAATTCTAAAAGCCATGAGGCAAAAGAAGATACGTTTAATTTTTTAATTCATGAAATTCACACTCATGGGCAGAGTGAGAACAGTCTCAAAATAGGTGAGGATATTACTTTCTTGGATTTACGCGAATATTTTGACAAGACGTTTGGCTTAGCTTGTAGTGACCCTACTTGCTGTGTCAGCGGTCGCGAGTTCCACTCCCGGTGGGGGCATTCATTTGTGCGATGAGCACGTATGTTTGTTCTCCAGTCATGAGTGTTTATATTTATAATATATATGAATTCAAAATTATATATGTGTAGTGTATCAATAACACAAGCCTCTTAGCTTACCGTGGAAGTAGATGGTGCTGTGTGTAAATGTCTCAACATTTCCCCACAAAATTTGACATTTTAAATTAAACTATTTTTTCGGCCTTTTTCGCGGATTTATTTAGATTTTTGGTTCCGGACGTTTCGAATGCTTTACACCAATCATGGTCGCGGCAGAGACTGAGGGTTTTAACGTCTCAAAAGTCATACTATATTTGTTACAGGCAGTATCTACGCACAAATTTAAGTTTTATTTATAAGACTAATATTTTAACCGAAATTAATAAAGGAGATGTTCAATTTATATATTTTTTTTGTTTGGGTATGTTATATCTTCGCCAATAAGGTGGTCCCATATGAATTAAAAAAAAAACACTGTAGATGCTTTTCAAATCACATTGATTCGTAATGGTTAAAAAAAATTAACTCATCTCTTTGCGCTATAAATTGAAGAAAATTCTTAAAGTTTCATGAAATATGAACAATAATACAATTTTATCAATTTGAATAATTGATAAATTTGTAAATAGTTTATATAGGTATAATATATATAAACTATTTACAAATTATATTACTAAAGGATATATTTTTATTTTCAGGAAATGGACGGCCACCAAAAAATATTTCTATTGAAGAAAGGTAAATATTATTTAGTTTCAGTTATAAATCATATTTCGTAAAGAGCATACCTTTATTTTTTTTGTCGTATCATTTTATCGTTTTAAATTATTTTGTCTTGGCCAGCGTGGTGGACTATGGTCTAATACCCCCCCCCCCCCCTCTTCGTTCTGAAGGGAGGCCCGTGTCTAGCAGTGGGACGTTAAAAAAGGCTGAATACAAATTATTTTGTAAAAGCCGTATAGGGCTCTTTGCATTGCCATTTCCAATTGAAATGTTATATAAATAAAAATTAATTACTGAAATCGTTACATCTGTATTTAGACTATGGTAGTCTTTTTCATATGTTTTATTAATAAAAGTATTAATATGTGCATATAATAACGTGATAAATGTTTTTAGTTTGTCAGACATCGACCCGCTGCAATGAATCGACTTGGAGACCATTCCATATTTATTTATATCGAAAGGTACGATTTTTATTAACCTTATAATACAAAATTGAAAATGTTTTTTTTAGAATTTAAGATGACTGCAGTAAAAGTTAACTTCATTTTATTTTTAAAATGTATCTTAGTTAATTAAAATTTTATCGCAACATAATTTTTTTTATCAAATAAGTTGGATTTCGAAAGAGTTAATATAAAAGTTTTGTATGTCTGTGTAACCAAAATAACTCATTAGCTACAGCAAATCAATCAGTGTTATTTATTTGAAGACGGCTTGAACTCCCTTTTTCTGCACGCTATTATCGCATATATCTTTCTGTAATAAATTAAATAAACTCAAAATAATCGCTTTATACTAAATGCATATGGAATTATATACGGTACTTATAAGAAAAACACAATTTAAAAAAAAATCTCTGTCTGTCTGTTTGTTCTGGCTAATCTCCGAAGCGGCTGGACTGATTTTGACGGAACTTTTACTGGCAGATAGCCAATGTTATAAGAAGTAACTTAGGTTACTTTAATTTTTAAAAAGAATTAGTTTTCCGCTCAAAAACTCGGAAAAGCGAGGTAAAGTCGCTATTCAGAAATATACAGCGGAGATACTTAATGTTTTATTGTTTTTGTCTGAATGGGTTTAAAAATGCGAGTATAGACACAGGCAGAAGCTAGTGCTTTCGAAATTTCTTCTCAGGTTTTAGGCTTTCTCTTTCCAAACTGGTTGCCGACTCATGTCGTTCAGTAAAAGATTGAAATTATTTTATGCTGAATAAAATATTTAAATTTGGTATATTTGTATGGATTTTAATGCACTGGTGCACATTTTTTATTAACTATTTGCTATATATTAATTACAGATATGGTGAAGTACAATGAACTGAATTCCACGAGCTAGTTTTTTTTGGTGTTGCTCTCAATTTTTTAAATGTAATCCCGAGACTCGTCAATTTATTGTAAGCTTATATCTTATATTAGATTACGTGTACGTTTATTATTCATTGTTATTTAATTATGCTTAATATTTTTTGTACAAAAAATATCTGAGATCTGTTTTTTTTTAATTTATGTTTTATTAAAATACCGGCCGAACACATAATCTCCTTTTTGGAAATCGGTTAATAATGGCATATCATACACTGTTAGGGGGATCGTGATAATATTTTATTTTCTTTTATTTTCACGAGGCTATTTTTTTGTTAGATTGACGAATTCGTTTTTACATTCGTTATGGAAGATAAAGTGAATATTGAATAATATAGCATAAGAATGTTGGTTTGCTTATTTTTTATGTGACAGATGAACTTAATTTATGCTGCGATAATAGGAATATGCGTGTTTTTTTATGCAATTGCTTACATCGTTATATAATTGGAAAAAATATCCGATTCCAAAAACTCAAATTTAGTATAAAAAATATTTAAAAATATCATACATATATCATAGATACGGATACTTTAAACGCCTATCATTTTGGCGCGCTTGGCGTGATGTCACAGTCTATAACAACAATGCAATTAACGAATGAACAGGTCTAGAATGTTAGTACCAATCGCAAACACCAAACAACAGCGCTCTGTTATTATAGACTTTGACGTCACATTCGGTCTGACCAGCGTTGCGTTTCAATACTTTGAATTTCCCACCTATTTTTGCATTTTTCAATAATATTACTTAATCAAAAGGAATCACATTAAAATAATATTAATATAGGCTTAATTCAGAAGCATTAAAGGTTATAAAACAAAATATTTCAGCTTTATTTAAACACGCATATTTTCTACTTCGTTAATCTATTTAATATACCGTGACAGTTGATTGATACAATATTTTTATTATAATTTTTATCTTTTTTATTAAGAATGTTTTATTCGTTAATACATACTACAAAGTAAAATATGTAGACTTATGATTACAGTCTATCAAACAATAAGAAACACATTGTGACGTTTTGCAATTTTTGTTACGCAATATCCTTACAAATAGTGAATCCTAAAATGTCAAAAAAGTGATTCTTATGGTGCTTCCATACAGCAGTTGTACAAAATGTTATATAATATTACATAAAATTTTTAACACGAAAACTTAATTCTGTTGTTAGATATTTTCAAAGTTTCCACACTGATAAAACATGTTGTAGACGACATTACATACATTTTATAACCATTCTGCAAACCCTGATGTCGCCCGGATTTAATGTTTTCTAACAAAAGTTACAAATTGTTATATATATATATATATATATATATATATATATATATATATATATATATATATATATAAATTGTTTTGGTAGCAATAGCAAAAAAACAAGCAGCAATGTTAAAAAACATTTAATATAAAGAATAAATTTAATAACTTTTATTATCAAATGTTGTTTCTTTGTGATAAAATGTTTTTCTAACATTTTTTAACTCCTGTGTGGAAGCAACTTTTATTTGATGGTCTATATCATCAGATATTAACTATTTATGTCACAATATTACACAAAATAATATAAATACAAAATACATATCATTTGTGAGGCAATATGCAATTCGCATTATCAATTTGAACGTTTTTTACTATACTGAAGCTTATGATTATGTATAAAAGCACATTTATTCTGTATTTCTTTTCGTTTATAAAAAGCTTTATATAAATGATCGCGTTTATTATAAAAATAAAATTAATTTAATGTATTAATAACACAATATACTACAAATCACATCAAACGTCAATTATTTACTAATTAACTCGCACGTAAGTTTTTTTTTACTTTTGATATTACCCGCTTGAATATTATCATAAGTACCTTTTTTGTGCATTTAAGGGACGTGTCCAAAAGTGGTTTTATATTCACGAAATTTCTAACAGGAATCAGATAAATATATCTAGATACACATCACAAAATTTACATTTAATTAAATTAACACATTTAAAGACCTAGATTAAATTAAAAAAAAGTCTCAGAGATATTAAATTTTAAGAAAAATCTGTCCTTATTTTAATAAAAACTCATACTTAAAATGTACAAACCATTAAGATTGCTATAGAATTGATTAAAATTTATGCGAAACGTGAAGTAGTCAAAAAAAAAAATTTTTGAAAGTTATTGACTTGTTAAATTATTCTTGTTACAATTCTCAGAATAAAGAACCAACTTCCATACAAAAGTACATATCTCTTAAGTAACCGTAAGAGATTCGCCATAATATATATTTATTTTTATATTTGTTATAAATTTGCCTTTTCAATAAAATTACAAATATGTAATTGATTCATTGATAAATTATATATTAGTTTTAGAATTTAGAATGGAAATATTTCCTTATACTTTTACATTCTCATAAATAATATATATTTTTTTATATATATTATATTTATCCTTTCTAAAGAAATTATTTTACACTTTAAAAAACTATCTATAAATTAGTTACGTAATGTATAATATATATAATAATTATAAAAAAAATCTTTTTATATATTTGGCGGCTATGATTGAGCTATTATACTAAACAAACTCACAATTAAACTTTAAAAATATACCTATTTATATTTTATAACATGATTTTTAATATTAATTTAATTTCTGGCAGCTGTTTGTTTGTTCTTAAAATTTGTTTTGTTAACCTTTTTAATGAACATTGTTTTTTTTTTTAAAACTAGTACTATTTTTAGGGTATATGAAACTTTTATTGCTAAAAATCTAGAATAATTTAAAGTTTTTTTTGTTTAAAGTTATTCATATTTTAGTTTTAAGTGTACTATAAATATGAAACTCATAAGAACTAAAAACATGGTTATATGATAATATATTTTTAATTTTAAATGTTTTCTATACTAAGTACGTTTAAAAGTAATTGACTCCTTTGTGTATGTGATGTTGAGATTTTTTTTTATTTTTTACCTTAGAATATTTATTTTTATTTTTTAAAAGCCAAGACAAAACACTGAAGGGTGAAAAGGTTCTAAATGTTTCTATAAAATATTTTTACATTATTTTTGCTTAGAATTTGAAGTCCTCGATAGTGAGTGGGTCCTGGATTGTTATAATGTTAAAAATACATACTTAATATAGCCGCAGGCGAGAGCTTGTTGTTATATATTTGCAAATTGGGCAACTAATGCAATAATACTTCATAGTGTGAAGGAAAAAGCAAAATTATTGTTAACTAAAATATTCCCAAAGTTCTGGCTGTGTAACAAATAACAAGACTGACGAGAAAATTGTTAATACTGTTCCTAATTATGCTTTTTCTCGAATTATAATAATAATATTAATATTATTTTTATACGTAACTTATGTAAGGCGTTTTCTAATATTTGATGGATTTACCATTCAAAATATATTTATATAACTGTATACAGTGTTTTATTTCCTCCTTTACTCTCTATATATTTATTGCCTAATTGCAGTCATACAACAAGTACTAAAGTTGTGTACTAAAGTAATTCATAATAAGCATTAAAGACGATTATTCTGACATAATTTAAAATTGAATATTTAAAAAAACTTTTTAGTATGTAAAAATATATAAATATGAAAGCGAAAAATTAAAAAGAAAAGTCAAAACAGGAACTGTTTCCGCCCGGGATCGAACCGGGGACCTTGTGCGTGTGAAGCACACGTGATAACCGCTACACTACGGAAACTTATTAGTTATTGTTGAAAATATTAAACCTAATATTTTGTTTAGTAACAAGTAACAAATAAAAATTATATTTGACAACTATAGTTTATAGCAAGCGAAACCTCCACGGAGACATTCCAAGCGCTCCGTCCGAGAGATGACCAAAATAATCAAAAAAAAAGCGATAGTATCGCTTTCTACTGGGAGCCAGTCTCGCGGCTACTTCGCCCGCGGATAGTCGCGGACACGTCACCGTGACATTATTGTCGGTGTTAAGTTGGACTCAATTCCTTTTTTATATCGTAAGCTGCACAAAAATATACCGCCATGGATCCCGAAGCCTTCTTAGACCTGGCCAACCAGGTCATAAAACTGAAAATGTACCCATATTTTGATATAGCGCATTCTTTACTATGCGCTTTAGCGGTGCGAGAAGATTTGGGAGCAGGTAAGAGTTATAATAAATTATATTTCAAATAAAACCCGCGAATTTACGCGTTCAAATAAATATTAATGTCGCAGCAAATTTGTTTTCAGCAATAGCTTCTTATCGTCCTATAATATGGAACTAAATTAAGCCACCGATAGAGTTTATAAATAGAACCAGTTGCTTTCATTAGAAAATAAACCGCACATTTAGTTTTATATATAAATATAATCATTTAGAAAATTGAAATAGTAATTCTATTAGATGTAATGAACATTTTCAGTACAAAAAGTTATAAATTAAGAAAAAATATTCGTATCTTTTCGCAACATTTTATATCAAAGGTCGACTTTATCTTTATATATTTACTATCTAACGCTGACGTGGATTTTAATGATTGCTTAATGCTAATAATCTCGATGCATATATTTTTGCATAAAATAATTATTTATTTGGTAGAGTCGGAGAGGTTATGTTTCAATGAAATGTTTACGATAAGAACCTCTCATATTGCCGGTTGGCGGGGAATATGAACGATTTGCAGAAGTCTAAATAGATGGCGCCCTTTGAAATAAAAATAGGTCGGAAGCTGGTGTAATCTGTCTGCGTTAAATTAGTGTTAGTGTGTAAATAATTTAAAGTTTCACATGCTATAGCTAATAATAACAATTCTGTTAAGAGTCGAAAAAAAAGATTAGATTGGGCTCGTCCGGGATTTGAACCCGGGACCTCTCGCACCCGAAGCGAGAATCATACCCCTAGACCAACGAGCCATGATATTAGTAAGTGAAATTAAAAAACAAGTTCTTCAATCGTCTACGTCATCAATATGATATACAGAGGTGCCAAAATACAACGATAAACATTAAACACTGTAACCTATTGCTTAAATAAATTAAACGATAAATGAGACAAATACCGTTTAAGTAAATCGAGAGTACTTTAAAAATCAAAATAACGTAATTACTGCATTCGTTTTCTGTTACTTTTATATAAGCTTGCGGTAACAGACAGACAGACAAAAATTCTAAATACTATAGATTCGGCCTCTGTATCGATAATAATGTCTATTTCAATAAGATTTTCCAAAAATATTTGGCTTAGTTATAATTTTATTATTTGTTTAGAATAGTAATGCAAACATACCATGTAGTTACTATTTACTATAGATAATTATTATTTAATTATTTATATATATATATATATATATATATATATATATATATATATATATATATATATATATATATATATATCGTGCATAGGTATTTAATATTTATTATCATTGAATATATGAATATCATTTGTATTAAACGTACACAAATTCTTATATCTTTTACCATACATACCTATAAAGCCTTACAAAACGGCAAATTACGTGCCATTTACTTTTTTTATGACAAAATTGTAATAGATAACAATACAATGTCTTCATACGGAAATAACATTACACTAACACGATTTTAAATACTTAATATTTTAAGTTTATTATTATTTTAATAATCTTATGCTGTGCTGTATTCATAGTTTATACCATGCTTTATATACTTTATGTATGTACATATTATATAGATAAGATATACACTTATATAGATAAGATTTATCATTAAATAATTATAAGTATTTATGTCCCTATTTATTTTCTGCCACTTTCCTTTAAAACAGCAACTTTTATTGTTTATATTACAAAAGATGCGATTAGGTACTAGGTGTGTAGTAAGTACTCATATCCGACAATTTTAAAACTGATTAAGTTAATACTAATGCGTTATAATCATTTGTAATAGAAGTTTTTACTTTTTATATAGAATGAGTTGTATAGAAATTTTAATTTATATGTAAATGCTCTACATATACATATATAAATATATAAAAGTGTCTGCCTATGATTTCAAAATAACTACCTAAACAAACTTTTTTTTAAATTTTGTCTGTCTGTCTTTCTGTTTTTCCGGGGTAATCGAATGAATTGATAAAACGACTTAACCGATTGTAATGGGACTTTCACTGAAACAGCGGATTTTGTAAAGAGTATGTTTTACTCCTAAATAATTAGCGCCAGCCTAGCATATTTTAGATACAGCGTGAAAATCAAAAACCCTTGAAAATTATGCAACATACAAATTTATGAGTTCGAAAAGAGCACCCGAGCGAAACGAGTGTATGGTCGCTAGTTTTTAATAACAGAAACACAGGAACCAAAAATCTTTTTGTACCTCAGCACTTTTCAAACTTTATGTATCTACCAGATAATTTGCGTTAAACTTTGTGGATGAGGAAAATTAGCCTAAAAAACTTACTTTGTACGTATTATACCTACGCAACGACACATCTGCGACATTACATCCATTACGATAACCTACCATCAAAAGAGTATTTTTTGCCAACCATGCAGATTGCAGATATTTGTACAAAACTTAAGTTGTGGAAGTAATAGTCTCGGAAGATGAATAATAGGAGTTTGTGAAATATGTACATATATATGTAATAATAAATATTTGTATTGACAATTGCTCATAAAAAAATATCTGATTATCATCAAAACATAATACAAATCACCAAAATCATAAAACAAACTAGACAAGAATAGAAAGAACATAGAAACTTGGGAGATGATTGCACTTAAGTGGCATGCCTGAAACTTTTATTACTTAATAGCAATAAATGGGTAACTCTATATTATAGAGTCCAGCCCAAATCGAATTACTGTGAAGATTAAACTATGTAATTAATTTCTTTTTTTTTTGACGACACGCTTGGTTCCGTTTTGTAGTGACCCTACTTTCTGTGCCGGCGGTCGCGGGTTCGAGTCCCGCTGGGGGCATTCATTTGTGTGAGGACGAAGGTTTGTACTCCAGTCATGAGTGTTTATATTTATAATATGTATGTATTTAAAGTTATATATGTGTAGTGTATCAACTATCTGGTATCCATAAGACAAGCCTCGTAGCTTACCATGGAACTAGATGGTGCTGTGTGTTAATGTCCCAACGTATTTATTTATTTATATTTATATTTACTCCTAATTTTCAGGGGCGCAAGCGTTCTCTCGCAAACATCCCCTCTCATGCTGGTTGTCCACAATGCTCGTGATCTTCGCGGGGGGCATGGTGGCCAATGGGCTTCTAGGAGAGCCTATACTTGCGCCGCTCAAAAACACGCCGCAGCTGGTCATAGGCACTGTTACTTGGTAAGAAATATGCTAAACAATAAACCTAAATTAATCCTAAACTTTTCTTGTCAGAATAAAGGGATATAACATTCTCGTATAATCTTTATTTTATATCCATAATAAATATTTTTAAATATTTAACTTTTTCATTTCATTTTAACTAGCGAAATACTCTGTCTAAGAGTAATCTATGTGTTAATCTAGGTTTTAGTCTATCTGTGTTCTCATCCAAATCTATACAACAGTATCAGTATAAAGCTATAACAAACATACATGTAACACATTTACAATCATTCGCATTTATATAGTCCGCTTAAACACAACTAACTACGGAATTTAAAAACAGTGACACATTCTTGCTAATACAGGAAAATACCCAGATATACGAGTATATTATATATAGCCTCTTTGCTATCTTTATCTATTTTTAAGCATTTATCTTTTTTAATTTTAAACTAGCGAAAACCCGTAGGTGTCTTAAAGTAGCCTATAAATTAAACCAGATCTATCTGGTTTTTTTTCTATCTGTATCTAAGTATTTCTAGATTATAGAATAATAAGCAATCGTTATCTTTGGCCACATTATTTGGCGCGTGCTATAATTAGTTTGCTAATAGCTTTTTATAATTTTATTTACCCAATGTCAATAAATATTATAATCGCTCGTTCGTAATTTTATTCTTGTGTTAGTACTCCTACGAGTATAGGTAGGTATATCTAATACTATAAAGGTGTAGAGTAAGTTTGTTCAAACTTGCTGATCTATGAATCTACCCATGCAGTTTGAAAAATTCTTGTTGCATTTTGTAGCTTATTTATTAAGGAAAAATTTATACTTATACCTATTGCTGAGTGCTGACTAACACGCTACGCCTCTTAGGAACACTAGTTGCAAATTAATTATTATTATAAAACACGTCACTGTATTTCTCCGCTCAAAATTAATTTCCATTACGCAGTATTAATCCCTTAATAACATAAGTAGATACCTACATATTAATTTTTATATACATATTTTTTTGCATTCTTAGAGAGGAAATAATATGACATTTTATGATGCTTTCATGATCAATGAAATTATTTTTGTTTGGCACGTATGTGCGTCACGCGATATTTATCTATATTCTATATCTACACTACTATTATAAAAAGGAAAGATTTGTATGTTTGTAACGAATAAACTCATAAACTACTAGACCGATTTAGATGAAATTTGGTAAGAAAATAGTTTGAGACCCTGACAAGGACGTAGGATTTTTTATTTCGAAAATCATCCTTTAAGAAGGTGAAAATGGGGATGAAAGTTTTTATGGGGAATCAAACTAGGGACGAACCCGAGCTAAGCGAAGGTGAATCGCTATTACGTAAATGAAACGGCAAAAAGAAAACAATTTAGTGCATTTCTCTCCTCTGTATGTCAACCGATTTTCCTTTTCGTTTTATATATCTAGAGCATATCGTGTTGTTAATAATAATTCATTAAAATCAATTAGTTTTTTTTATGTCATGATCGAATTTCGACCACTGGGCGAATACTAGTTAAAGTAAACACTAGAACTAGAATAATTAAAATATACTCTAATAAAATAACGTCTGAAGTACACATCGGTTACCTAAATAGGTACCAAAACTCTATTTTCATACATATTTGATAGGACCATAAATAGAGTTTTAATCGGGCTCGTCCGGGATTTGAACCCGGGACCTCTCGCACCCGAAGCGAGAATCATACCCCTAGACCAACGAGCCATATAAATAGTGTGCGTAAGTATCTACCAGATCAGAAATTATTTATATCTTCGTTCAGTTAAAAATAACTATTTAAATTAAATATAATAAATAATACTTCATCATCGGATCCGTTCAACCGTTCTGGTATGAAAGAGTAACAAACATCCATCCATCCTCACAATCTTCCACATTTATAATATTAGTATGGATTATAAGATTTAAAAATATAATTTCATAAATTAGATATTAATAAAATTAAAAAATAGTATATTCCATCACTGACTATGACAAATTAAAATAATCTAAATTCTTCTGTTATATGTATTTTGTTACCTACCTACGCTTTGTTTATAAATATTTCATACGAAATTGATACGAAATATTTTTGTCTCGTATCATTTAAACATATATGTATGTTTCTATTATATACTATGACATACCTACAGAATCTCTTGTAATATTTGTATTGAAAAGTACCCACTTGACTAACGTATTTTTAATTTTCTATTAAAAATATTTTATACTAGCAACTCACCCTCGCTCCGCTCGGGTTCGTCCCTGCTTACGTTTTATCGTATAGTATAGATTTTTCAGAGATGAGATATTTTCCCGCAGTAAAATGTATCCTATATGTTGACCCGGTTAACCAGCTATCATCACACCAAATTTCATCAAAATCCGTTCAGTGGTTTTTCCGTGATGCGGTAACATACAGACAAACAAAAATTCTAAAAACTATAGATTCGGCCTCTGTAAGCCAAAGCCAAAAAGATTTTTCAAAAAATATTTAATGTACAGACTCGGCTTAGTTACAATTTTATTATATGTATAGATTATGTAAAAAGTTTAACGAAAATATTAATTTTTTTTTTCAGGTACGTGGTATTTTACACTCCATTTGACGTCGGTTACAAAGTCGCCAAGTTCCTTCCAGTGAAAGTAGCAGCATCTGCAATGAAAGAAATATACCGCGCTAAAAAAGTGTACGACGGAGTCACTCACGCTGCCAAGTTATATCCTAACGCTTACATTATTATGGTTATTGTCGGTAAGTTTCTATCCGATTTATATAATTTCAAATAAATAATGTTATGTAGATATTGAAATGTCTCAATATTTTTCGTTCTAATTTTCGCCAATCTTTTTTATGGGTGGCTCAAAACTATTACAGCCGTATTGAAGTACGCTACATATATTTTAGTACAATACCAAATTTCATCAAAATCGCTCCAGTGGTTTTTCTGTGATGCGGTAACAGACAGACAGACAAAAATTCTAAAAACTATAGATTCGGTCTCTGTATCGATAATAATATCTATTTCAAAAAGATTTTTCAAAAAATATTTAATGTACAGATTAGGCTTATTTACAATTTTATTATATGTATAGATTACTAAAATTTTGAAAGAAACGTAAGTAAATTTTAACATTAATTCCCTCAAATCGGCGGAAGGTCGATTTGTCGACCGAGATGAGTGGCTGGAAAATGCAGAGTATCAGTATTATATTGCAAAGAAAAAAAATACTAAAGATAAAGTAGCACGTAACGAAGTAAGAATGAGCTAGTTGCTTATTAAAAATGAATTTTACTTCAGGCACACTCAAAGGAAATGGAGCTGGATTTACAAAGTTAGTCGAGCGACTCATCCGAGGCGCTTGGACGCCCACCGCCATGGAAACTATGCAGCCAAGCTTGTAAGTTTAAATAATTTATTATAATGCTAAAAATAGTAAGTAATTTATTTACAATAAAGAAAATTTTATCTATGTTTGTACATTTGTTTTGTATATATAATTAAGTATATTTGTAAATTTCTTTAATAGTAGGTACAATAGTATTTTTTAAATGAAATTTAAAAATGTATAAATATCTTCGGTTAGTTATAGGCAAGCACTGTATATTTAAAATTGTCTTGTACATATTAATAACTGACCTTCCTGTAAATGTTTGTAGATTTATTTTATATTTTTATTGAAAGTAAAATGTCGTTTAACCACTCAGGCATTCACTTTTGCACTGGTTTTACCGACCTACTTGATATAATACTTTCTTAGATTTACGCGAATGTTTGACATTTTTAAATAAAACTATCTTTTCGGATTATTTCGCGGATTTATTTTGATTTTTGGTTCCCGACGTTTCGAATGCTTTACAGCATCCATGGTCACGGGAGAGACTAAGGTGTTACATGTCTTGAAGGTATAGTTGTTACAGACAGCCTACCCACGATTAACAAACGTCGTTAACCAAAAATCAAAATAAATCCGCGAAATAATCCGAAAAGATAGTTTTATTTAAAAATACCTACTTAATAAATGAAGTGTAAAAAACTATAAGTTCTCTCTTACAAAAGCAGTCATTATTTAACTAAAATTAAAACCTCTATTATAACTTTAGAAAAACCTGCTAAACGTTAAAACGATAAAAAAGTAATATAATATAAAAAGTATTGCGACAATTGACAAGCATGTAAATAGTAAACACGTAAATAAGCTACTTATCAATTATCATTGTTTAAAATCTCATCCATCATAATATACCTATCTATCCAAACTTAAGGAAAATACATATTTATTTTTTACAAAGTGTTTTCTTTCATAGATAAATATTTTCTTTAAATTCCTTTATATTTTCAACTACAGTTACACAAAAGCATCTCTGGTGGCCTCGGTGATATTCGTGCTCGATAAGAAGACCGACCTCATCTCCGCGCCGCACGCCCTCGTCTACTTCGGTATCGTGATCTTCTTTGTGTACTTCAAGGTCCGAAAGTTCAAATATTTTAGAAAAGTTAACATTACTTATAATGTGCCAGAATAAATGAAATTAATATAATTATATTTTCATCAGTTAATTACTTGTATCTACAACATTATTTGACACTCGTTTATACTCATTTAGGTACTAAATTAGATACATAGACGAAAAAACTGGTAGTTTGTCGTCTTTGCAATGACAAAAAAAATGATATTTCCAATATTTTTGTTATTCAGTATGTAGGTATACAAGCTGAGGAATTTGTTTGTTTGCACGCGCTAATATCTAAAAGTATGAGTCAAATATGAGGAGTTATAACTCAGAGTAGTAGCATTTTTGTACTGTGAAACAGTTTTTTAATAAGTATTTAAGTCAGTTAAAAAGTTTTCATTGATTTATTGTTTACATATAGATATTTCTTTTTTATGAACAGTTGTCTTCCATCCTGTTGGGAATACACGATCCGTTTGTGCCATTTGAAAATCTATTCTGCGCTTTATTCATGGGCGGCATCTGGGACTCGCTCGCCAAGCTGCTCGGCAGGGGACAACCCAAAGAGGAGACTAAAGATGCCAAGAAAACCAATTAAATGTTGCCATATGTAAGACAATTTATTATTTGCTAGTTGCCTAACATTAGCCAATGAGTAACTCCAGGTCATGGTCTATATGTGTATTTATACCCATATAGCGTGAATGAGTAACAAGCATAACACATTTTTACATTTATAATAGTGCTATGAATATTTATATTTCAGATGTATATTTTACAAGCTTTTATTTAACTTCCAATGTTTGTATCAATGTTTGTTCGGGTAAAATCTTGCAAATGAATTTTAAAGCAGTTATCCTCAACTGATTGAGCCGAAATTTTGCATACATGTTTACTTTAGATGACAATGCATTGTCAGATAAGTGAAGTCATTTTAAATCCAACATGGCGGGTTCCCAACAATGGCGAACTATATTTTTTTATGCACCCTCATGATATGGATGTCAAATTGAATGGTTTGCTGAGAAAAATACAAATGAGTACCTATAGTAAAAAACTTTAAATGAAATCAAACCCATTTATTACATTACACAATTTATATGATATAAAAGCTTGTTTTGAAACATGTTTTTTTAATATTAACTTATTATATTTCAGGTCGCAGTCGCTTCTATACATTCATCAACTGACACCGACAATACTAACTGCGACAGTATCTTTTAATTATTTGCATAATTAAGAGAATAAAATGTTAAAAAAAAATATAAAAAAAAATAGTAAAACCTATCAAAACATAAAAAAATGGCACAACGACCAAAGTTCAGTTTTAGTTAGTTTTAAGTTTGACTAGTCATAAAGTTAAGTTTTAATTTGTATGACGGTGTATTGTTTCTAAGTATTATTGTGTGCTTTATATATTCTCCATATAGGGTTCCTAATTGTACACATTAATTTGCTTATATTCGATTTTTTTAAAAAGTTACCTGCAGTACCAAAGTTGCCAAATTTTAAAATTAAAAATTATAATTTTAAATTGACATTTATATTACGTAACTTATGTTTTTTAATATATATTATATTTAATTAATTAATAAATTGTTTTTGTTACAACTATATAACATGTCCATGAAAGTATTGTTCTTTAAGAGTGTGGTTTGTGAAACATTTGGGCGTTGTAATTATTTATTTTAAGCTTATGCGAAACGAATTACGACATTTCGACTTCCTTTCTTCCATAGCATAATAAAATTGATTTAAAAAATATAATTTAAATATTTATATATAATATTAAATAATAATTATTATAAATTTTGATGTCATGAAAACACTGGCCAAGTCGCAAGGGTGCTAGCGATGAGGTCTATTGGTTTCGTGGAAAATGAAATAAAATACTACTGTTTTATTTAGCACATTATTATATTTTGTTAGCAATTTGTCAAATAATAAAGGAAGGAATAAATTCATTTAAAAAAAAATTACATTGTTTTTCTTTCATCAACCCATAAGTTAAGCTCTAATAGTATAAGAGATGGTGTGGCATTACACCTAGTCTTTTTATACCGACTAAAATTAATAATAATAATAGTTTTCTTTACTACATTGAAGCTCTGAGCGTCAGTTTGCGGTGGAACTAACAGCCTGTGTAAGTTGATTAAGGAAAATTTGACTGAGTATTTTTAATGGCTGTGCTATTCGTCCGAATATTGTCGGTTTGTACGAACAGCTACCACTTTTTTTATTTTCTAATGTATTATAATACTTAAGTGATTTTTAGGTTCAGGCGTTTCCATATGAAAAAAATATATTAACTTTAAGCTACCGAGCTCAAAACTTATTCTTTTACACTCCAACGATTTTTAAGTACGAGAATTTTTAAGTGTAAAAATAAGATTCCGACGAATTGAGAACCTCCTTCCTCCTTTTTGGAAATTGGTTAAAAAGTGATTTTTAGTTGCAAGAGTTTCTATATGCAAAAGACCGATCCCAGAAATCCAACATTTCTATTATTATGAGCAAAATCTTTTTGAAAGGTAATATGAATCGTCAGTTAGGTACCCAAAGTTACAACTTTTCCATTAATTTTGCTTAAATACAGAAAAAAAGCTTGACGAACTTTAGGTAAAACAACTAAAACGTTCGTCATCATTAATTATATTTAATTACTAGCTTTGCCCGCGGCTCCGCCCGCGTTTAGATGACCAAAAACCAAATTCTTAGGTTTTACATATTAGTATACTCTTACATTGCAGTATTTGTATTTTTTCTCAAATATGAGATATTTTCCCGCGGTAAAAAGTATTCTTTATGTTGACCCGGATAACAAGCTATCACCATACCAAATTTCATCAAATTCCCTCCAGTGGTTTTTCTGTGATGCGGTAACAGACAGACAGACAAAAATTCTAAAATCTATAAATACGGCCTCTGTATCGATAATAATGTCTATTTCAATAAGATTTTCCAAAAAATATTTAATATACAGATTCGACCCAGTTAGATAGTTAAAGTATAACGCAAAACCAGTTGCTTTTTTAAATATTATTTAAAAACAAGTTTGTAGTTTACTTGACTTCATGTTAAATGTATTAAAGTAGTAAGTACATAATTATGTACTTTTCAATCTATCATTTAATGAAATCTATTAGTCAATCTATCTAAAAAATCTATTAGACATTTGAAGTTATATTTACCAAATGCTTTTTCTAAATTACGTTTAAACCATGAAGGAATTGTGGCTAATTCATTCATGTTTTAAACATATAAGTTGTCTATATTTTTAATAAAACCTTCATTTTTATACCCCACTCCAAAAGGTTTGAACGACAAAATTTTTTTTTACAGATACTTAAATTGGCACCTAAACTCCGCCATTTAATTTTTAACTATTTCTATATAACCTACGACGTGTAAATCATCAAAATCGGTTAAAACGTTTAGTAATTACGAGGAAATATAGAGTCGGACATACATACTTGACACATATGTACATAATACATATGAATACAGGTCAAACACATAACCCTCTTTTGGGTTTCGCCGCAGTCGGGTCAAAATCACACTTCAGTTACATGTATGGAGTGTCACTTCTATTTTTTATTTTTCTCCTATTTTATATTTTACAGAATCGTCTAGCAATTAACATGAGATAGTTACCTAAATTCCAGCACTGTAGCTCCAATAGTTTTTGAGAAAAATTTCTGTGACATACGGATATACATTTTTACATACAAGGCAAAATTATAATGGTTTCGTTTTTTTAAGACCCGACACAAAAAGGGGTGTTATAAGTTTAACGTTTGTATCTGTGTGTCTGTGGCATCGTAGCGCCCAAACGGCTGAAACGATTTTAATTTGTTTTTTTTTGCTCGGGAGGAATTTAATCCAGAATGTTCTTAGCTATAAATCAAGAAAATCCATTCAGCCGTTTGCAGGCTATCAACTTTTTTCTATACGGTAAAAGGATATGAATTACTTCCTCAGATCTAATCCATTCGAAACATACAACCGTGGCCTGATGCTGCAACGTCACCTAGAATTTGCAAAATACTTAACTCACTAAAATACTGCATACTGCGTAGGTATCGGTTTTAGGCTCATTGAAATGGCCTTGCTAAATAGGTTACTGTGTTGGGTTTTTTTAATATTATCATCATTACAGCTCTAAAAATCTGGCTTCAACTGTGAATCTAACTTACATAAAGAATTTGTACACTGAATGGATTTGTTACATTTTTATTTTCAGGTCTCGTTCTATAAGTAAAAAGCTTTTTAGGTACTCGTAATTCATATTTTTTCAAAATTTTAAGCTAAATAGTATCAAAGGTTGGAAGAAATTCTAAAATAAAAGCTTTATATAATATATGCAAATTTTTTTGTAACGAAAATGAAAATAAAAAAATGTTACTTAATATGTATGTAAGTACACAGTTTTAAAAAAATGGGCCAACTTTATAAATCTAGTTACATAACATAAAGTAGTAGAATTTAAACTACTTAAAAATATAAAGTAAAAGGCTTAATATATGCAAATGATATCTTGTTTGCAATAAATGTATCAAGGCTAGGCAGATGTGCAGAAAGAACACTGACCTATCGGAGTGTACAACGAGTAATACGAGTCTAGGATACGGGTTGCATGTAATCGAGTCGCATTGCATATTATAAACGTAATATCGCATAGAGAATTTTTTACACACTCGTAATAATTTAAAATACTTTAAAAAAATATTGTGATTGTTTTCCCCAAATTTTTCAATAAATAATTTAGGCATTTATGATTTATTTACTCAGATTGGCAATGGACACGTTCAATCTAATCTAAACTAACTGCACTCTACATTTTTAGGATTTCGCGCAAAGGATCAAACGGCATTCTTTCACTAAATTCACACTGTGTGCCAATTACCAAAAAACGATTTATAACATTATAAAATCTTACTTATAAATTTTTAAAATGATTTATTTATATATTTTAAAAAAATATGATGTAGGATGCATTCATGAACGAATAAGCCAATTCGTTCATGGATGCATTGTGTACACACAATAATACCATTTATTTACAGTAGTAGGTATATACATTTATTAATTTCGAAATAAAGTAAATACTGTGAAGTTACAAATATACTTAATTTTATAGTATACCTATACAAAGTAGCAATACACCCAATAGTTATTTTAGGTGTACTTTTATTTTGTACAAGTCATACCATTTTTTGGACGAACAATTAATTATTTTTTGCTAAGACAAAATAATAGAATTAATTATCAGAGTATTGTATCATGTAGTCTGAGGAAAGAGCTATCAATGTCCAAAGGGGACGTATTCCGATCTTACGGTACTCTGGCGAGGTGGCGGTTAGCGACTTAGTGCCGAGGTCACTGTCAGCCGGAGCCTGTGGCACACTATCACACCGATATGTAATTTTTACTCTATTTTATTATATCTACGTTTTTTATATTGATTACTAGCAACATACCTCAGCTTTGCTACTCGCTTTCCTAGGTGCCTTACTGTTGCTCCCTGTATGTAGCCTACGCGTTATCCCCCTTTATACTCTACCATTATAGCGACTCACTCTCGCTCCGCTTGGG